GTCCTCTGACTTTGCCTTGGCAATAACTCTTTTGAAGGACCTGGAGGCGAAGTTATACTTCTTTTTAAGTGTGCTGTTTACATTGCCGAAGCCACAGCCCAGGCTTGATAACACTCCTGCTTACTGCGTAATGCAGTCCTTACAGGAGCGACCAAACCAAGGCTAAGATCTGCCGCCGATAGGTACCACAGTTGATGGAATAAATAGTTTCATTCCCTGTAGCACCACATCAGTGACAGAGTCAGCAACAGCGCTGGGATCATCCGGCGAGAAGCAAACCCGCCCCCATGGGTAGGATGCAAAGAAAGACCGCATTCCGTCTCAATCCGCCGACCTGTAATGCCAAACACGGCGGCAACCTGCAGAACGCAACCGCGAGGGGAGCGTGAGTGGCACCACATTCCGGATCAGACAATGGTCCGAAGAGCCGAGAGGGGCATCGACGGAAACCTGATATCCGTCAGCAGAAGGTCCAACAGGGAAGGTGTATGATCCTCCACATCTGGAATCCGCGTAGGCGAAGTAACCAGTTGTGTCAGACCATATGCCAAAGCAAAGTCATAAACAGATCTCCCCGCATGATCGGTTAAATGTGAACCAAGCCATTCTGCGTGGTGGGCGTTAAAATCGCCAAGGATCACGATCTCTGCGGATGGGACCTATTGTAGCAAAGAATCTGCAGCCATTTGGACGTGGTCAATGAGTCGGTCTGTTTCGGCATTACCGCTATGGGACCTATAGAGGCACCCGTAGACGCGCGGATGGTCGTCGCTTTCTACGCGTAGCCATAGGATGGACAGGTACGAACCTTCAAGACTGCCGAGGTGAATACGCGGGGCAGCCTGAGCACCCACGCTCAGGAGTGGAATAACATTGTCGTGGATGCTCAGCAAGGGATTCTCCAGGGGTGCTGGTACCCTCCTGGGGTAGTCTTTGATGTAATTCTGCTACCATGTTGATGGGGGGCGGGAGGGGGGGGGGGGGGGGGGGGTATTGGGCCTCCGGCCACCTGCACTCACCAGACGAAACGCAGAAGCAGGGCTTCTACTTCACGCCGGTATTCTGTGAGGTCGTGGTACCAACCCGGCTCGAGCCGGCCCATACATGCAACAGCAAAAACTGCTGCGTGGCTCTACCACGTATAATAATAATCAAGTAAAAAATAAAGCGTTAACATTTAAATGTCAAATATTATCATCCATCACTGTAATAAAGGGATAATCCATTTGTTCACGGGGCATTTTTGGACCTCTCGGGTCAAATTATATAAAAGTTTATGAAGTTTGAAAAGTGTTACAAACTAAATCCATTCTGACAATAACGGTGCCCAATCCGGGGACATGCGTTATATTATTTTAAGTTAATAAGAAATCTAGTGTTTTACTATGTTCGTTAGCTATTTTATTTTTAAGGGGAAATAAAAAAAAGAAAGAAAGAGATATTTATTTGTCCATTTTTTAACAAAAATTTCTTAAAAACCCAAAAAACAATTTAGCTTACAACTAGACTTAATTATTAAGACACACAATGAAAATTTTTAAACGTGGTAGAGCCATGGTGCAGCTATATTATAGTTGTAGCACGAATGGGTCGGCTCGGCTAGGGAAAGGCCACGCTCTCACAGAATAGCAGCGAAAAAGAGCAGCTTAACATTACTGTCTTTCTTATGGTAAGTTTAGAGAACCGGAGACGCTTTTTACTGGAAAAGAGCCATTACATCTTAGTCCTCACGGGCGACAACGCATCTGCATTTTGATTCGCAAACGAGGATAGATGCAGATGTCTATGGGTCACAGGAACCACTTACCATCAGGTGGACTGTGTGCTCGTTTGCCTCACAATCCTTTAAAAAAATGTATTGACAAAAAATATTGCAAAATAAATTAAAAAAAAAAATATTTAAAAAAACAAGGAACGATTACGATTACCGTGTAGTGGCGGTGTGTAAAGATATCCACTATCGCCTATCGTCCCATGGGTAAGTGATGACAGAGAGAAACAAATCAATAAATGGGCAGCAGCGCCTTCCCAATAAACCTCCCAACCCTGCGTGGCAATTATGGCAAATATACCACCTACGAGTCAATCTATTGCGGAGGCCTATGTTCAGCAGTGGACTTTTATAGGTTGTAATGGATGGTTGTATAGAAGATAATCTACCAGGAGCACATAACCCACTGAGAGGTGAAATTATTAAATTAACAGTAATATTACAACTATGGCAAATATCCTCCATATGAGGCAATCTATGGGGAGGCCTGTGTTCGATTGTGGACTTTTATAGGTTGTAATGGAGGGATGTAAAGAAGATAATCTACCAGGAGCACATGACCCACTGAGAGGTGAAATTATTAAATTAACAGTAACATTACAACTATGGCAAATATCCTCCCTATGAGGCAATCTATGGGAGAGGTCTGTGTTCAACTGTGGACTTTTATAGGTTGTAAGGGAGGAATGTACAGAAGATAATCTACCAGGAGCACATGACCCACTGAGAGGTGAAATTATTAAATTAACAGTAACATTACAACTATGACGGAAACCTATGTTCAGCAGTGGACTTTTATAGGCTGTACGTACATTAACGGTAACACAAAATATAAACTAGATATAATATATCCATCGAATAATAATTAAAACAATTCAATACCGCGAATGTTATGATTTATTTTAATCTAAATAAGTAATTAAAAATTCGTAAAATTCACTTACCCTCAGATGCAACATTCGCAGTTTTGAACTTCATGCACACATACACAAAAACAAAAAAAAAAACAACAATGTACAAGAAACTCTTAACGCACGAAATTATTATCAATATTCACTTGACAATATTGCTGTCATAGGCCCGATATTTTAAAGTTCACATTTTAATTGTGCAATGATGGTGTAAGAATATCCACTAACTCATATCGTTCCGTGAGTGTCGTGAGAGGCGACTGGCAGCCATTTTGTTTATTTTAATGTTAAGGTGAATGTTGCCATTAACACAAAAAAGAAGGTGACTTTTCAAATAAATACATAGTAGGTGTAATGTCATAATTTGTATTAAACTTTAACAAACATTTATATGTATTGTGATTCAAAAAGAAATTAATAAATTTAAATAAAACTAATTTTACGGATTTTATCGCATATATTAACTTATTTTATACTCCCGACGTATCGAGCACTTTACAGCACCCATGGTCACGGGGGGCACCGAGGTGTATGACGTCCCAATGTCATAGTGAACCACGGCTACTGGAGGTTAAAAATTATAAATTATTTTGCGACATTGGGAATTCATACACCTCAGTTCCCCCCCCCCCCCCCCCCCCCGTGACCATGGGTGTTGTAAAGTGCTCGAAACGTCTGGAATATAAAATAAGTTAATATACGCGATAAAATCCGTAAAATTAGTTTCATTTAAATGTGTAGTGTTCGCGTAAATATAAGAAATCATTAAATATAATAAAGTTGGTTAAAAAATGACCTCGCGTACATCCGCTCTATAAAATAAAATGATGTGTCTTACCTAGTTTGAAGAGCACCTCCCAACTAGGTAAGACACATCATTTTATTTTATCGAACGGATATACGCGAGATAATTTTTTGCCAACTTTAATATGAAGGATTTCCGCAAAGTAACGCCTGATTCTATTAATCTATACAAATAAATAAAATTGAAGTGTCTGTTTGTAATGTCTAAATTACAGCTTTTTACTAAATGCATATGAAAGTATATACGGTACTGATAACAAAAAACAATTTTTAAAGTTTTTGTCTGTCTGTCTGTCTATCCGTCCGTCTGTCTGTCTATTTGTTCCGGCTAATCTCGGAAACGGCTGGACCGATTTTGACGGGATTTTCACTGGCGGATAGCTGATGTCACAAGGTGTAACTTAGGCTACTTTAATTTTAGAGAAATATATCGGCAGGTTACTTATTGTAGGTGACAACGTATCAGTAGCCTTTTTTGTTTGAACGTGTCCAGGGAATGGAGCCACTTAGAATATAATGTGTCTTGTCACTTGTCCGTGTGTATGTGACTGAACTCCTCCTAAGCGGCTGGACCGATCATGATGCGATTTTATGTTTGTGTGTGTGATTCAGTTGATTAGAGAATGGTTTAGATTCACAATTAGTCCCGGTAGGTGGCGTTGTTGTCGAAATACAAAAATCAACCGTGTGAAGCCGGGGCGGAGCGCTAGTAGATAATAAATTGTATTGATTCATGTGCATAGCTCCGATAAATAAATATATATATATATATATACACACACAGTAAAACTTGGTTAAGTGGGATCTGGATAAGTGAGTAACCTCCATAGCTGGAACTCATGCTTAGGTCCCGACACTTTACAACTGAAATATCTCTGTTAGTGGGACAAAAGAAACCTCTATATCTGGGATTAGTTCTTTCGATTTTGTCGTCATAATTACCTCTATAATTAAGACCGCGAGTGTATTTTACTTCTTTTACAGAGACTATATTTTGTGTGCCGTTTTCTTTACTAATTCATATTCTACCCGCAAATTCCGCACTTGGCTAATTGTGTAAAAGTGACCTCCAGTTTTAGTTTGGTTTTGCTATCGTCCGGATGTTTATTTGAAAATGCCGAAGCGAAAGCACCTCTATAACTGAAATAACCTCTATTCTCACCTCTATTAATGGAACCCTCTGTAAATGAGACAGATATTTATTTATACCTGGATATCTGAGACACTAGGTAAGTGTAATACCTCTTTAAGTGAGACAAATTTGCAGGTCCCTTAAGTTCCCAGTTATCCAGGTTTCACTGTATTATGAATATATATATATATATATATATATAAGCGAAATACCAGGGACTAAGTGACTCATATAGATACCATTTCGCAATGTAGGCGCTCACTAAGAACGGAATTTACGATAGTCTCATTAAAAAAAAATGTTGATATTTTACATCTAGGTTCCGCAGTAAAATATTATCGTGCGCCTAGCGAAGCGAAATGTAATTCAGAAACATTCTTACCTTCTCTTTGGCTTGCGCTTTACAAAACGCTTCGTAGTCGACAAGTCGGGTGATAGTCGGTGATTCTGAACAGGCAGCACACTGCGAGTTACGTGGGCGCAGTTTAACTGGAATCACAAAAAAAAATATTGTAGTTATCCCAAATGAGTTTATACAGTATGTTATGGCCCCCACCTGCCCCTGCAAAGGTCGCCTTGGCTAGGGCCCATAGTAGCCTCCTCGACGGGCAGCCGAGGGTTCGGGCCCAAATGGCCTTATGGACAATTGACCTATCATACTACACAATAGAGATAAGGCTAGGTAAATAAATAGTACGTACCTGGATTCGAAGCTAAGACCGCACCAAGGCTCGGTCAGGTCGTAGGTAGGTGTAGGTGCATGTGAGTGGTGTTTGGCAGTGTTTATTTATGTGACCTGGCCCAGCTGAGACGACCGGGCAGCCGCCTGGTCCGATGCTGGCCCACCATGTTGTATCAATCCAGCGGACGTCACTAATTGACAACTTCTTTCTTCATTTCACTATTTCAGTCTATCAACTTTACTGTACATATAATTAACTTCAAGGTCAACCAATTCAACGTTCATCGAAATCAAACACGTGATACCCGACACAAGTAACTAACAGTCGTTCAAAGTTCAATATTCAAGGTTCCGGGTTCACGTAGCACAAATTTACAAACACGGGATCGAACGCGGCCTCTTCTCGAGTGTCACAAAGTTCAGCGTTCCCAAACAACAAACTAAATTCCTTCGTACGATATTAAATACTACGCCGCAATAAGAATTCAATATCAGCCTACCTGACAAGCAAACTAACTAAAGAGTCAACACACAAAGGCTCTCAACGCGACGGTACAATTAAACATTAACTTCCAAACAATTAGTCGATCCGGCGTCCAATTTTTAGACTCCACAACTCCTTGTCGTTGCATAAATTTGCTAACAAAATCGACAAAATCAGAGGTTATTATGTACGTGACCACGCGGCGCGAGTACTCACTGCTATCCTATACAATTGACGCAATTACTTTCAAACAAAATTACTTTAATCAGTCAAATACAATACAAGCCTCTTGTCACGAACTTACAACTTAGACAAACTAAACCGAGGCGGTCTTCACGAAACCACAATTCAGTAGCGAAGTAACGCGCACAAATACTAAAACTCTAGACCATAAACCCAAAAAAACTTGTCGCGCGAAATATATGCAGCGGTCACCAAAATACGCTAATTGACCGCAGCGCTGCTCTCAAGCTACTGTCTTCGCCCACGAGCGCCAAACGCCTGGAGGCCGCATACCACTGCCCCCTCCCCGCGACGCGCGTGTCACCTCACACATCGGGCGATTCGCTAAATCAATGCTATTGAATGGCGTTTCAAAATGACCATTTTTGGGCCTAAACACAGTAAGACTTTTTTTATAGGATAAGGGTGACAAACGAACACACAGTCCACCTGATGGTAAGTGATTGCTGTGGCCCATAGACATCCACATTCATCCTCAACTACGAATCAAAATGCAAATGCTTTGTCACCCGTGAGGACTAAGATGGAATGCCTCGTGTCCAGTAAAGAGGGACTCCGGTTCTCTACACTCACCATACGAAACACAACAGCATTAAGCTGCCATTTTACGCTGGTATTCTGTGAGAGCGTGGGCCTTCCCCGATAAAGCCGACCCATTCGTGCTACAACTGTACTACTAATAGCTGCAGCATGGCTCTACCACATATAAAAGAACTACTATAAAAGTACATAAAAAGACTTGGGGACCTACAAGAAAAGAGCAAAATCTATTGGAAATACCAGAAAAACCTCAAGGTTTCCAATAGAACATCTGGACCACATCGTTTACGTAGACGTACAAGTGGTAAAAACTTAAAAAAAATATGCAAACGACTTCAATATAAATAAAATGAGAACATCATCAATGTACTCAAAGTCAATTAAAGATTCATCAAAAACTACTGATCAGACCTTGATCAAATTTATAAGGGACTAAATGAGAAGCACCAGCTTTAAAATAAAAAAATATCAAAATCGGTTCACTTAGAAAAAAGTTCTGAGGTAACACACATAAAAAAGTCAGTTCAAAAAAATTTTTTTTTCATCTTACTTATTTTAGTTATTGCAAGTGTATCTCACAGGAGGATTAAATAAGAAACAACATTTATTTCAACACAACATGATTACAAATAATTATATTCGTTTCATACCCGTTCTAAAGGTGACGTCCTCTCCATCAAAGATAAGTAACCTGCCGACGAGTAACTTCTCGTGCGTTTGCCCAACAATTAGTTTGATCGCTTCCAAAGCCTGTAAAGCACCTGTAAAGAAAAAACACATTGGTTTTCACATGCACACGGATTAAATCAGTTACTTTAATAGGAAATGAGCCGGTCATATTTTTTTATAGGATAATGGTGACAAACGAGCACACAGTCCACCTGATAGTAAGTGGTTGCTGCGGCCCATAGACATCTACATCAATCCTCTGTTACAAATCAAAATGTAGATGCGTTGTCACCCGTGAGGAATAAGATGGAATGCCTCATTTCCAGTAAAAAGGGCCTCCGGCCACCTGCACTCACCAAGCGAAACGCAGAGGTAAACCTCTACTTCACGCTGGTTTTCTGTGAGGTCGTGGTACCACCCGGTTCGAACCGGCCCATCCGTGCGACAGCAAAAGCTGCCGCGTGGCTCTAAAACTGTTAGATATAGCTCGAAGAACCGACAACCGATGCGGACGAAAGGTTCTCGAGGTGCAGCCTCATACCGGCAGGCGAAGTGTAGGGCGTCCCCCCACTAGATGGAGTGACAGCCTGGTAAAACATGCAGGAAGTCGATGGATGCAGGTGGCTTAGGACCGTGCTTTGTGGCATTGCTTGGGAGGGCCTATGTTCAGCAGTAGACTTGTGAAGGGCTGTAATGATGATGATGATGATTTTTTATGAAGTTATCGTTCCATTTAGCTTTACTAACATGATGGAGCGTGAATAAAGCTAATAAAACATACTGAAAAGATATATTTTTTTCCTCTGGATCGATTTTCTTTCTGACCCATCATCAAAGGTATCGTTAGTACTATTGTCCGTCTTCGTTTTCGGAAGCGTTTCACAAATACTCGCTACATAACCTGTATCATGCAATGACATTTTTTTTTAAATTTTGACAACGTAAACTATGAGTGTTCTATCATTACACCATGCGGTGGCGTTACTAAAGCGATATAATGACGTCAGTGAGCGTTTGAATTTACAGAATAGAATAGAATAGAATGATTTTTATTCAATATGGATTATTACATAATACTTATTGAAAGTCATTATTTTATTTACCACTGGTTCGGAAAATACCTCTGTCCTGGGAAGAACCAGCAAGAAACCCAGCGGGACTTTTTTTTTAAACATAATTTCACTTAACAATAATTTTGTTTATACAATTTTAAATGAATTTTCATAGAACCAGCATGGTGGCGATCACCTTATTCCCAGGGGTTATTTTCATTCATGTATTCCTTGATATTATAATAACCCTTTTTTGTACAGTTTTTCTTTAATAAAACTTTTAAACTTGTTTATTGACAAACTTTGAACATGTTCTGGGATTCTGTTGTAAAAGCATATACATTGCCCCATAAATGAATTACTAATTCTGTGGAGTCTAGTAACTGGCATTACAAGCTTATCTTTGTTCCTAGTGTTTAAAGTATGAACATCCTTATTCTTATTAAAGCTATTTATGTTTTTATGTACATACATTACATTTTTATAAATATATTGCGATGCCAAAGTTAATATGTTTATTTCTTTAAATTTTTCTCTGAGGGACTCTTTACAATTTAGATTATAATGAAAAATCAATTGTTAAACTTTCATAAAAAATTAAAAAAACGTGCAACCAATCTATTGGCCAGATAATAAAGCATCCTTACCAATAACTCCTGGAACCGGCCCCGCCACTCCATTCGCCGAACAGCTGCCAACGGCCTCAGCTGGTGGGGGGTTCGGGAACACGCAGCGGTAGCATGGGCCTTGGTGCGATAGATCCTAGACAAATAGAAAATATTTGTATTAGAAAATGAGGAGCACGCGAGAATTCGACATTTCTGATGGTAAGTGATATCCCACATACGTAATAGATCCACGCTTCAGCTATATTTGGTTTTTTTCATAGAACGCTATACAAACGAGCACACATTCCACCATGTTGCTGTGACCCATAGACATCCACATCTATCCTCAATAAAGAATCAAAATGTAGATGCGTTGTCACCCGTGAGGACTAAGATAGAATGCCTCTTTTCCAGTAAAAAGGGTCTCCGGTTCTCTACACTCTCCATACGAAACACAGCAGTGTTAAGCTGCTATTTTACGCTGGTATTTTGTGAGAGCGTGGTCCTTCCCCGGTCGAGCTGACCCATTAGTGTTACAACTATACTATAAATATAGCTGCATCTTGGCTCTACCATGGAATAAAAACTAGATTGTACAACTAGTCAAACAAATCGAATCTTTGTAACACAAATGAGTCGATTTGACTGGGGTATGACCACACTCTCACAGAATACCAGTGGAAAATAGCAGCTTAATGCTTTTTAATCGTACGAGGCATTCCATATTAGACCTCAGGTCTGAAATGCATATGCATTTTGGTACTTAATCGTAGATAGATGTAGATGCCATACCACTTCACTCTACACACTTACCATCAGGTGGATTGTGTGCTCGTTTTTCAATGTTACTCTCTTAAAAAACAAAAGTGGCTTATGCCCAACCTTGGAATGTATATAGATGTTCACTTTCTTACACTGGAACGTATATATGGTACTTTACGATTAGTTTATTATAATGTAAATTTATAAAAATTAAATGTCCCGATTCGAGTTCCAGCTATAGACTTATATACGTGGTAGAGCTATGCTGCAGCTATATTAGTAGTATAGTTGTAACACGAATGGGTCGGCTCGACCGGGGAAGGACCACGCTCTCACAGAATACCAGCTTAACACTGCTGTGTTTCGTATAGTGAGTGTAGAGAACCGGAGACCCTTTTTACTGGAAAAGAGGCATTCCATCTTAGTCCTCACGGGTGACAACGCATCTGCATTTTGATTCGCAAGCGAGGATAGTTGTAGATGTCTATGGGTCACAGCAACCACTTACCATCAGGTGGACTGTATACACGTTTGTCACCCTATTCTTTTTTTTTTATAGGATAGGGTGACAAACGAGCACACAGTCACCAAAAAATTCACCACAGCAGTCTCCCAATTTATTTTTAATGTGTATTTTTTTTTTGTCTCTTAAAAACGCTTTAATTTGTAGTTCAGATGTTTTTGGCAGAATTAAAAAAAGAATTGTAAACATAAAAGAAAAATACTATAATGGAATAAAAAAATAGTTACACCTACTCAAAAAGCACAATCTGTTTTTAATTTTAATCTGTTTTTACACTTTTTTAAAATTTGTTATTCCTTTACAAATGCCTTCCTTTCGACAGAATAGAATAGAATAGAATAATATTTTATTCAATATAGATCACATGTGTAATTCTTATTGAAAGTATTTTTTTACTTTACCACTGGTTCGAAAAAAACCCTATGCCCTGGGAAGAACCTGCAAGAAACCCAGCGGGACTTTTCTTTAAAGTCAATTTTACATGAATGGTTGTATAAAGTAGGGACATAGCTTAATTGGCAATCAGTCATCGCAATTTTTGTTTCCCCCGAATCCCCGTTGAGGTAGCAAAAAACTGCCTAACTTGGCAACACTGAATTTATCATAGAGAGAATAATTATTCTATCATTTCACGAAGTATTCTATGGGAGCTTGATTCATCCTCGTTCGACACGACCCATTCGTACTGCAACCAAAATCCAGTTATAGCACGTCTCTACCACGGGATAAGAAGAACACACAGTCGGTCATCGCGTTTGATGTTGTAGGAAAAGCCGACATAAACAATAAATTGCTAGGGTTGTCAGAACGGGAAGTAATAAATAAATAAAAAAAAAACTGATTTTATTTCATTTCACGTTTAAACAAATTAATGTGTATGTAGAAACTGGTTCCTTATCTTTAAACGAGGACGACCCACAGTTTTTTACCGCACATGCAGTGCGGTAAAAAACTGTACGGTAAAAAACATGCATTTTAATTTATTTGCGTGAAAGGACAACCCTAGCGGACAGTGCTCAGCTCGCATCTCGCCCCGCACCGCTCCCCACGATTGGCCCGTCTATATGTCTCCGATGACCGACTGTCAGTAGTAGTTAGACTGTGACTCTACCATGCCTTTAAGTGCGTCGTACTTAAGTTACACACAGTGACTTACCTTCTCGTTGTGGTTTCTGTCAGCTCGATATCCATATACCGTCAGTTGGCCTTCCATTTTCAAGGCACTGCCAGATATTAACGGTTTCTGGTGACAAATAATTCAATACATAAAATAATAACTATTTATACAACCGTATATATACTAAGGATTCATTTTAGTTTTGGCGGGAAATTGACTGGAAACGGATTGTTTCTGTAACAGTTGAATAATAGTTGGAAGTGGAATATTATACACATAAGTGATGCAATATTCAACCAATTTCAAAAAAGTAGGTTCTCAAATCGACTGTATTTTATTATGTGTGCTACCTCAGAACTTTTTTTTTAGGTGAACCGATCTTGATGATTCTTTTTTTATTTGAAAACTAGTGTATTTCATGTGGTCCCATATAAATTTGATCAAGACCTGACCAGTAGTTTTTGAGTTATCAATAATAATGCGTATTTAATTGACTTCGACTACATTGATGATATTCTCATTTTATTTATATTTAAGTTGGTTGTACAAAATTTTTAATTTTACCACCTGTGTATATTAAATATCTGCGCAAATAGTATAGTTGCGTTGTAAGAATATCCACTACCCCACATCGTCCCGTGAGTGTCGTAAGAGGCGTCAGAAGGAAACTGAAATAGTAGATGAACAGCAAAGTAAAGTACAGTAGAACGCCGACTATCCGAACGCCGATTAATCGAATCGCCAATTATCCGAATCAGTCCGAAGCGTAATATAAAAAAATTAAAACCAAGTACTATAAGTAAGTAATGTTACTTACTTATAGTACTCGGTTAACTGATATTAAAAATAACAGTGAAAAAAAATTTTAAGTTTTGTGACTGCGTTGGAAACTGGTGATGGATGTTCGTCGCGAAAAGTAATGAAAAAGGCAAAGGATTAACAGCTTGAGAAGGCTGTTTTTACGTGGTTTCTGAAGCAACGATCTATTGGACAACCGGTTTCAGGATCGATTTTATGTGAAAAGGCGAGAATGTTCAGTGAAAATATGGGTGTAGCTGGTTTTACACTTTATAAAAATTTATAATGTGTAAAACCATTTATAAACTTAATAAAGTTTATTCTATGTGTGACAGTTTGTTTTTCTATATTACATACCAGTCTTTGTCCGATTATCCGAATCGATCCCGGTCCCAATTAATTCGGATAATCGGCGTTCCACTGTAGTCAGTAAATGGCAACTATGAATGATTCGCGAAGTATAGCAAGATAAAGATACTTATGTTTTCAAGTACCCTCACCTTAGCGATTGCGCACACGTCGTTCAGCAAGTACCTAGTGGGCACATTGTCGCTGCAGTCGAGGATCACGTCGTATCGGGACGCAATACCCAGGGCGTTGTTCGAATCCAGCTGGACGGTGTACGGAGTGATCTTGATGTGGGAGTTGATGCTGGAAGAGATTTCAATGGAAAGGTAACTATCACGGGAATATTTGGGTGAATACTATCGTTGTTGATCACAGCATCAGATATGTATTTTATAAAGAAAAAGGGGTAACCAGCGAGTACACAGTCGAGGATAGATGTAGGTGTCTATGGGCCACAGCATCCATACCATCATGTGGAGTGTGTGCTCGTTTGTCACCCTTGTTCTATTAGGGCGACAGAGGGAAACAAACCAGGAGATGGGCAAAACCGTATATCCAATAAGTAATAACTAAAAAACTGTTCCAACTCGACCACCAAGGGTGGCAACTATGGCAAATAGTAGATATTTGCCCAATAAGGCAATCTATGGGAGAAGCCAGTTATTTGGTATTTGGTTTTTCTGGCAAGAAATTCTCCGGAAGCAGCTCTGAGTTAGGAAGTCGGCGATGTCTCACCGCCGTGTCTCAGAAAGCGCGTAAAACCGTTTGTCCTGCGCCTGATCTCTCTCCGGTCGTGTCAGAATCACCATCCCACCGGACTATGAGTGAGGGAATAGAGAGCACGCCTGTGCTTGCGCATACACTTGGCCACTATAATCTCGTCCTACGCTAGCTATCATGTCCTAGGCTAGTCTCTGTTGAGCCTTTTTTTATAGGATAGGGTGACAAACGTGCACACAGTCCACCTGATGGTAAGTGGTTGCTGTGACCCATAGATATCTACCTCTATCCTCGTTTTCGAATCAAAATGCAGATGCGTTGTCACCCGTGAGGACTAAGATGGAATGCCTCTTCTCCAGTAAAAGGGGTCTCCGGTTCTCTACACTCACCATACGAAACACAGCAGTGTCAAGCTGCTATTTTACGCTGGTATTCTGTGAGTGCGTGGTCCTTCCCCGGTCGAGCCGAGCCATTCGTGCTACAACTATACTACTAATATAGCTGCAGCATGGCTCTACCACGTGCAAAAAAATACTGGCCGCCGTGACCGACATTCAGTCTGGAGGAAATTATTACCTTCTCAATGTGTCCGCAGCTGACTCTGCTTTACTAGTGTTCTGATCTCTTTCAGTGTGCAAGATCTGTCTGTGAATGTTTGTGAGGTCCACACTGTCATAATCCACTATCCCGATTTCGCCTGCAAATGTAAAACAAAATCACTATTGCACACATCGTCGAACGCGAATCGAAGATATAGTGCTCTATTGTCACCGAAGAAGATTGATATTGTAATGAAATTTAAATATATATATACATAATTGTCATATATATATATATAAGCCTTAAGCTTGGACAATATCAATCTTCTTAACACTAAAATCTCGGTAACAGTAATCTTAACGAAACACCAAACAAGCTAATCAAGATTTCTCGTGAAACGGCCATCGTTTCACTCGCCACGTTTTTCAATTAAACACGTCGTGAAACACGCTGTTGAAGGCGCTATTAAGGTGAAAGCTTGTTGCGTGTGAGTGAAAATGAGCTTTTCTGTAAATAATCATACAATGGGATTATACGAACTTATACGGTTGTATTGATGATTATAATGATTATAATTCTGTAAATACATACTCGTTACGGTCGCGAATCATATTTTGTTAAACATGCAACCTGACACTGACCTGCAAATTGCAAAAAACTTAAGAAAATTTGAATTTCGCGGGCTACCCTGGCGCTTTCACCTTAAAATATAATGTTTCAAACGCCGCTATTGACATTTGATAGATAGTTTCGTTACTCAAGAAAACCGCCACTACCAACCGCTACTTTAGACTGGAAAACAGCGGAGCATACATTGCTACTTGGCTGCAGAAATAAGTGTGGTACGTGTCCCAGATGCACTCAAACGCAGAACACTACCTACCTATTGAAAGGTTTTGATTTAAGATGACACTGGAGCCAATTTGAAGAAAATCACAAACGCAACATACTACAATAGTAGTTTAAACTTGGTACACCCACGTTGCAGCTATAGCCTGCTACAACCTTAATATATATATATACATATATATATATATATATATATATATATATATATATATATATATATATATATATATATATATATTAAGGTTGTAGCAGGAATGGGTCAGCTCGGCTGGAGAAAGACCATGCACTCACAGAATACCAGCATAAAATAGCAGCTCAATGCAGCTATGTTTCGTATGGTGAGTGTAGAGAACAGGGAGACCCTTTTTACTGCATACGAGGCATCCCATCTTAGTCCTCACGGCTGACAACGCAAATGAGGGTAGATGTGGTCACAGAAGCCACTTACCATCAGGTGGGCTGTTGTGCTCGCTAGTCACCCTAATTCTATAAAAAAATGTAAATACTAAATAAATTCATTACCACCACCAAAATTATAAAAAGACTGCAGTTGCCAACCCGCCCGCCGAGTGTGGCAACTATGGCAACTCTCCCTATGTTCAAGAATGGATTTTTAATAGACTATAACGAATTTGTTAATGAATTACCAACACCAGCGCCGGCCAGATAAACTGACGCTGGACATCCGAGTCCCCCGGCTCCTACCACCAGCACCTTCGCAGCACATAGCTTCTCCTGACCTTGAACTCCGATATCCGGGAGAAGTATTTGTCGACTGTACCTGTTAAACGAATATTCATCATTGATATAGGCCTTTATCACGCTTGGGATGCTTGCATTAACAAGCAAATTTACCAAACGCAGTATCAGATATTTTACACCTCTGTATAATAATTATATTATTTCACAAATAGCTTATGAGAGACTTTCTTTAATAAGCCAGTGCTTGACCACAATCCCACCCGGTGGTAACTGGTGAAGAGACCCTAGATGATAAATTGCTGATCTTAGCTGAAGAAAAATCTATTCACTCCTGCCTTGAAGATTGTTGAATAAAACTACTTTTACGGATTCACCATACGAAACACAGTTTCATTAAGTTGCTATTTTATGCTGGTATTCTGTGAGTGTTGTACTACCTCGGTCGAGCAGACCCATTTGTACTCCTACCATAATGATATAGCTGCAGGGTGGCTCCACCACATTAATTCCCAACATTTCAAGTGTTTCACAGCATCCATGGTCACTGGGAGTCTGATATGTTCATAATCAATATCATAGCTAATTCAGGTTTGCTTCAACTTTTTAATATTAATCTTTGATTAAATCTACACAGTACTGATAAGCGATAGAGCATAAGACATGCTACTCCCAATTACAAGAATGAACGTAGTATACCTTTCAATAGCCCACTTGGGAAGTTTATCACCGTAATACACTTTGGTCACATTCTTCAAGTTATGTTGTTGTAATTGTGCGGCATCTTCTTGATTTAAATTATTATTTGGATGTACCTGAAAACAAAATAAACAATTTTGTAATTCTACATATTATATACTAGTTAATCACACCGACTTTCATGGTTAAGATTTATTGATGTGGTGTTACAGTGGACCCCTGGTAATCCGGCCCCTGTCTAATCCGGCACCCCCTGTAATCCGACATGGTCTATTATTTATTATTAGATATTTTTTTGACAATCTTCGCAAATGCATGCTTGAACAAGCTATAACTTTATTCATAATTTTTGATTATTTTAGTATGTACATTTGTTTGTACACCATTATTTCTTAATGTAAAGTCATTGCATATTTTTTGTAAGTTCTATAGCATTAATGACGTTAATTTTATAATAGAATATAAGCTCCCTATTGTGTTGTTTAATTTACTAAATTTGACATACATAATGAAGTATAATTTGTACTTCAGAGTACATATATATCATATAGAATCTTATCATTGGATCTGGAATTTGTCGGATTACAAGGCACTCTTTTATAAAAAATTCCGGACTATATGGGGTCTTAAGCAGTACTCTACAAATCCGACAAATTCTATAGTCCGACACTGCCCTGCAAAATGTTTGTCGGATTATCGGGGGTCCACTGTAATTAGATTTAAGATAAAGAAAGGCCATCAATGTATCAATTTGTCATTTTAAAAAAAAAACTCCAAGTTTTTTTTGGATAAAATGTAACCTAGATCATTCCTGGCATTGGTCTTTACTTGTACGTGAAGTTACATCACAATCGGTTCAGCTATTCCGAACAGTAGCCCGTACAGAAGGATAGACGGACTGGCAGACAAATATTTCATCGATGACTTTCTTGTCTTAATGAATCTTGTTCAATATAAGGCCATTTTATTTTATTTATTTATTTAATTCTGAACAATACAAATTGTGTTGAATCATTTATGCAAAAATACAATTAAAATGTTTAACAACCAAATTTACAATTATATAAAATTACAATAAAATATAATTTACAATCAATATTAAATTAAAATTATTTTAACAATTAACCGGTTCAGTGCGGATGACACGCGAGTCGTGTCTTTTTAATAATCGTTATAACTCGCTCAAATTGCTTTTTTGGAAATTTTATCCAGAACAAAATATTCATTATTTTGCGAGTAGTTCATGCATGCAGCTTCGTTTCTGGATATTTTGAAATTTTAGGGGTTGACAACCGTTTTTGAACGTGTACATGATACTATTTTTACTTTGTGGGTTTTAAATCGTGTTATGGAAAAATTGTTAATAGCACTCATTGCGATCGCTCATAAACTCAAGTTGTAAATAAATTTCTGGAAAACAAGTCTCCTGTTAAAAAAAACAATGCGTTTGTCTTATTGTTTAACTTGCTTAAAATGGTTGAACTGCCGTCTTATTACTATCATATGGCCGAATAGACCTACGAAGTACCATGTGCTCTTGTGATATGGTATAAGGTTTATTTTTCTTGAAACAGTTAGAAACCGTTCCTGCATAAAAAAAGTTCGCTAATAAATAGTCTTGTCAATCCGCCGCCGTATAGCGACGGCGTTTTTTTTTTCTTTTGAAAACACTTGTTTTGCTATTCTTACTAATTAGACGTTTTCAGATCGACTTTACTTTTACATTTGTATAACATTAAATAATATTTAACATTTGTAAATATCAATGAATGATATACCTTTTTTTTTCCAAATTAAGGTTCTTCATTGTTTGATATTTACAAATGTTATTATTAGGTGAAAATTTAATTTAATAAAAACCAAGGTTTCCAGGGTGATTTAGCTGTACCTACTTATATAAATGATTTTTTATAACAACAAAAAATAGTACAAAAGGTTTGTAATCTCTTCATAAAAAAAGTGACTTTCTCTCAATTTCAAAGAAAACGCGTAAAAAAACACGTAGTTACCCATTAAAAACAAGTATCCTTCCATTTGTAAGTTATGTTTGATGTCAAATAAACTTAATTAGGTCTAAACAAGTAAAAAAAGCATAAAAAAGGACATTACTTTTACACATGGCGGATGGCACAATAGGCGTGTCATTTTTGTCTGTGGCGCTTGACGTGCCCGGCGTGTCATGAAATATTTGTTCGCCGCCACAGCTAAAAGTTGTCGAAAATTGGTGCCGCAACGAATCGGTTAATATAAAAATTAGATTATGAAAAATTACAATTAAGTATATAGAACTTACAATAAAAATTAGAAGTCAAATCTCATCAGTCAATAAAATAAAGTATAAAATATCACAAAATAATAATAACAATATATGTCATTAAAAAAAATTACGATTATTTTTAAATGTCATCAAAAATTTTAAAACATTGAAGATTATATTTAACTTTTTTAAGGTATTTTTGAAACTATCCTTGTATAACATATTTTTTAAGTCAGTAGGTAGTCTATTAAATAGAAGTACTGATCGATATTGAGAACAGTGTCTAGTCATTACCATACGGGGGACGAATTTATTATGAAAGTCTTTTCTTCTAGTGAGTCTAGTAGTTCTCTTATGGTTTTTTGGTCTATCGTCTCATATTCGCCAATAACTTTTGCAAATTGCGTGAGTAAGACCAGTATATACAGACATGGAACAGTCAAGATCCCAAGTCTTTTGAAGTGTTCGCAACACGATTCTTATTCTTTTATCCGGACCATGGTTTTGATTGCTCTTTTTTGCAGAACAAAGGCTTTGTGTACATTATATTTAAAGCTCCCTCCCCAAAATAAAATACTATAACGTAATCTTGACTCCACCAATGCGTAATAGATCAATTTTATATGTTCAAGATCAGCTTCATCCCGTAAGCTTCTTAGTACGTAACAAGCTGAGCTTATTTTACCATCAATCTTGTCTAATTCATGTTTCCACTTCAGATCACTGTCTATCCTCACTCCTATAAATTTGGCCACTTCTACAGACTGTACTGTTTTATTACCTAGTGTAACATTCAGGGTTGTGTTTTTTCTGACGTTATTGCGGACTAACATAACATTTGTTTTGTTAGTGTTGATCGACAGGCCGTAGACAGTAAACCATATTCTAATGATTTCCAATATTTGGTTTATTTTAATTTCTAGAGTCACTATTTCAGAGGCTGAGATAACAGCATTAGTGTCATCTGCAAAGAGGACTAGCTTTGTTGAGTCTGTCATTTTACGTACATAATTGTTTAAATCATTAACAAAAGTAATAAATAATACGGGACCTAAAATAGAGCCTTGAGGTACACCCACTTTTACGTTAATCATTTTGGACTTTGTCACCATTTCATTATTTCAATATTACATAAACTAATAGATAAGACCGGGTAAGGATTTGGGATTAGTAGACAGACATAATGACGCTAATAATATACACTTTGCTAATAACATAAGGTCCTACAAAGTCAGCTTTTTTTAAATTCTTGAGTCTAACTTAAGAACTTTTGAATGAGTTTTTCTGGAAATATCCACACAATGGGATTATACAAACATAGATGGTTGTATTGATGATTATAATAATTATAATTCTGTAAATACATACTCGTTACGGTCGCAAATCATATTTTGTTAAACATTCAACCTGACCCTGACCTGCAAATTCCAAAAAACGCAAGAAAATTTGAATTTCGCGGGCCACCCTGGAGCTTTCACCTTAAATTGAAAATTTTTAAAATTCCCAAAAACAACCCTACCGCAGCTAACAAAACAGCTGATGAACTTGAAACGGCAGAACCGATCTTGATAAAACATGTCTAAGAACCACAGCTAAAAAACTGGCTTTTAAATTTAAAAAAAATGCATCCACATCGGTTCACTCATTTAAGAGCTACGGTGCCACAGACAGACAGACACATAGCAGTCATTCTTACTTATATTATAACTTATAACACTCCTCTTTTTGCATCGGGGATTAAAAAAGAACAAGACACACTAACACTAAGTTACAGAACAGAAATCAAACCAGTCACCCCATTTTGGTTGTTGTAAGAAGTGAATATGGGATATGATAAAAGATCTCACAGAATACCAGCGTAGAATGGCATCTTGACACTGCTGTGTTTCGTATGGCGAGTATAGAGAACCGGACACCTATTTTACTGGAAAAGAGGCATTCCATCTTAGTCCTCACAGGTGACGACGCATCTGCATTTTGATTCTTTATTGAGGTTATATGTATATGTATATCTATGGGCCACTGCAACCACTTACCATAAGGTGTACTGTGTGCTCGTTTGTCACCCTATCCTATAAAATAAGAAAATAATAAAAAAATCTTTGGTTTTCAATCATGCAATGTATAAAATACCCTGACTGGCAACGAAAAGCAGCCTCTAAGTTGCAAAACTCCAGTACTTTGATCAAGAATCAACCTGCCGAGAGTAACAATTGAGGCTAAGACTATATACAGTGAAGGATTGACCATTGCAAAGACAATTAGCCTGTGAGTTTACAACTAGTATTGGACTTTAACAAACTGTTGAAGAAGAAGAAGGACACGGGAAAGTGAGATAAAGACTTTGTCCACTACTCATTTCCTTAACCAATTAAATATGTCACTGTATGCATCAGTTGAGATGAGCAAAGTATTCATAATTTAAAATTAAAAATTTTGTAGAACCGACTTCAATATAAATTATTAAGAATAACTCAAAAACTATTGGTCAGACCTTGATCAAATCTATATGGGACCACATGTGAAGCACCAGCTTTCAAATAAAAAAAAGAATAATCGAAACCAGTACACCCAGTAAAAAGTAATGAGGTAACACACATAAAAAAAACATACAGACAAATTGAGTACCGTCACCTATTTGAAGTTGGTAGAAAATGTTATAAATATTTGAGTGCTGCATAACTGGTGCTTTTTTGCCGAGAACTAAGATTGAGATTCACATTAAGCAGTCTGGCAAGCTTGACATACTGGGAAACAGATAGGTTCTTTTTTAAACTTATTATAATTATTATTATAAAGTCGTAGATGATGATGACGATGACGGTACCACATGAGCTTGTTATAATTTATAATGACTTTTACTAACTTATTTAACTTAAAAGGAGAACAATATAACAAATATGAGTAAGTGTACAACAATTGAATAATTCGAGAATTTATAAAAATGATGACATTGAGGTGTAGTTTTACTATCTCCGTATCGTATATGTGAATAAAATAAAAGGTGTTTACTTTAAAATAAGAATTTACCGGCATCCAATTTCTTTTCATTTCAAACAATTCACTTTCTTTTTCTTGTAAAGCTTTACGCAAGTTATTTATTTCTTTTTCTAGCTTTTGAATGCGATCCATGTTTTTTTTTTTATATCACGATTATGTCTTATATAGCTATTTTAATTATTTTTTATTTTGAAATATTTACAAAGAATAAAACACGTAAATTAAATTTCTTTTCTTTTGACATTTGTTCATTCAGGGTTGCCATTCAAGGCCAAATAGTACCAAAGAGCATAGAATATAATAAGTATATTATACAGTATGGAGTGTAGAGTACAAGGAGAACCATCTTATAAGGAGCGAAAATTGAAAAAGTGTCCTACTCATCATCATTATCATCATCATTACAGCCAATCATAAGTCCACTGCTGTAAATAGGCCTCCCCCAAGGAATGCCACAAAGCACGGTCCTGAGCCACCTGCATCCATCGACTTCCTGCATGTCTTACCAGGTCGTCACTCCATCTCGTGAGGGGTCGCCCTACACTTCGCCTACCGGTACGAGGCTGCCACTCAAGACCCTGTCTTCCCCATCGGTTGTCGGTTCTTCGAGCTATATGGCCGGCCCACTGCCACTTCAGCTTACTAATCCATTGGGCTATGTCGGTTACTCTGGTTCTACTGCGGATATCCTCATTCCTAAGTTTATCACGCAGAGAAACTCCGAGCATAGCCCTCTCCATAGCTCGCTGAGCGACCTTGAGCTTCCTCAAACGGCCAGCAGTGAAGGACCACGTCTCAGATCCGTAAGTCATCACTGGCAACACGCACTGGTTGTACAATTTCGTTTTAAGGTTTTGAGGTATGTCTGACGAGAAGATGTGTCGTAGTTTCCCGAACGCTGCCCAGCCGAGTTGGATCCGTCGATTGACCTCTCGGTCGAAGTTGGACTTACCTAGTCGGACTATTTGTCCCAGGTAAACATACTCGTCAACAACTTCGAGCTTAGTGCTCCCAACAACTACCGGCATAGGTGTGACATGCACATTAAACATAATCTTTGTTTTGTCCATGTTCATCTTAAGACCTATCCGTTGGGAGACACTATTGAGGTCATTGAGCATAGTGCTTATATTAAATGAAGTACTTTATATTAAATGAAGCCCCGACGGTTCGAGAAAAAATGAGATTGACTTCATTATGACGATCAGACGACAACTGTTCAGTGATGTCTCGGTGATCGCGAGGGTGAAAACCGGCAGCGATTACCGAATGGTGAGAGGCACACTGAATCTAAACGTTAAGTTGGAGAGGTCTCGTCTAATGAAGTCAACGCTCTGTCCCCCTCGTGCTCTAATCCAAAGCCCCGAAACCTTTCAGCTCGAGTTACAAAACCGTTTTCAGTGCCTAGAAGACTGCAATGAAGTGGACGCTATGAATGACATGCTCGTGGAAACTGTCACACTCTTATTCTTATGGCTATTGAAGAATGTAGCTTCATCACAACTCTTGATTCTCATTTCTCAGATACTCTGTAAAACTTTAATGTTGTTCATATAAATGCCCAGAGTATTCCCGCACATTATCCTGACATGCTGTCCTCATTTTATAACGAAAATATACATGCGATATTAGTTTCTGAATCTGGGCTAAAACCATGTTTGCCTTCAACATCTTACTATTTTCCCGGATTCCACTTGATTCGCAACGATCGCCTTGGGCGCGCTGGCGGTGGCGTTGCGATTTATTTAAGATCACACATCCCTTACACAGTTTTAAATACTTCGCAGCCATTGTCTAGTGCCGGCCCTGAACACCTATTCATCGAAGTATTGTTTGGACATTTAAAGCTTCTTCTCGGTGTCTATTATAGTCCAAATGTTACAATTGATTATTTTTCAGCATTTGAAATTGTTTTAGAACAATACTCCTCGCTTTATAATCACACTATTGTCATGGGAGATTTCAACACTTGTCTTCTCAAAAATGATGCTAGAGCATCCCGTCTGAAATCTCTCGTTAATGGCATTAACTTACATATTCTCCCACTTTCTGCGACTCATGCTTTTCCGAATTGTGTGCCTTCTCTTCTTGATTTAATACTTGTTTCTTCCATTGACCACGTTGCAAAGCATGGCCAATGCAATGCCTCCGCTTTTTCTTACCATGACCTACTTTACCTGTGCTATAAATTAAAACCTCCTAAAGCTAAGCGAAGGATCCTTCTCCGGCGCAATTTTAGTAGAATGGACCTGGATAAGTTACGAGAAGATACTGCTAAGGTTGACTGGTCAGTGGTTGCGAATGCTGGTTCGGTTGATGAGCAGATATCTATTTTTAACAGCATACTTACACAACTGTATGAAATTCACGCTCCAATTCGTCCAGTCCGAATGAAGCATCTTCCTGCCCCCTGGCTCACTGCCGACATAAAAAAACTTCAAGAAAAAAAGAATACAGCAAAAACGAAATATCGTATGAATCCTAATGATTCCAACCGAGACAAATATAACAGTGCACGAAATCGCTGCAATATGGTGTGTAGAGATAGTCAACGACGCCATATCTATAAATCTGTTGTTGAGGAAGATAACTCAACTAAAGTTTGGAACTTTCTCAAATCTTTAGGGGTTGGAAAAGCAAAGCGTAATGTAGAATCTCTTAATTTGAATTTAAATAAGCTTAATGCTCATTTCCTCTCTAGCGCCACTATAGAGAGTGCTACGAAGAAAAATACACTTGTTCAACTTTCTGCTATATCAACTCCCAATTTTTCCTCTTTTGTCTTTAGCCAAGTTACTGTCAATGATGTTAAGAAGAATATATTAGCCATTACTTCCGACGCAGTTGGTTCTGACAGCATTAGTCGTAAGATGATTATCCCATTACTCGATCTTTTAGCTCCTATCCTTACACTTATTTTAAATCGTTCCTTTGACACCAGTGTTTTTCCCTCATCCTGGAAAGATGGCCAGTAACTCCACTCCCTAAAAATTCCTTTCCTTTCTCTCTAAAGTACTCGAGCGCCTAATATACCAACAGCTGAGCAAATTCCTGTCCAATCATAACCTTTTGAATTCATTCCAATCTGGTTTCCGTCCCGGTCATAGTACGACTACGGCTTTGGTTAGAATCACTGATGATATTCGCCTGGGCATGGATAATCAGCAGGTTAAAGTATTGACATTTCTTGACTTTAGTAATGCCTTCAATACTGTAGACTTTGATATTTTACTCGCTGTCCTAAGTTCTCTTAACATATCTCCTGAAGTAATTGGTTGGTTTCATAGTTACTTGCAAGGGTGCCGACAACGTGTACAAATTCAAGGCACGTTTTCTGATTGGTCTGCTGTCAAAGCTGGCGTCCCACAAGGTGGCGTGTTGTCTCCTCTATTGTTTTCTATTTTCATCAATTTGATCTGTTCCCAAATAACTTCTCTTTACCACCTATATGCAGACGATTTACAAATCTACTCTCAATGTAAGATTGCGGATCTCTCCAATACAATTAGATTAATTAATCAAGACCTTATTCGTATTTCTCATGGGTGTAATTCTTTTGGGCTTAAAGTTAATCCTTTGAAAACTCAAGCTATTATTGGGAGTTCGAAATTAATCTCTCGGTTAACTTTGTCGCTGCTCCCGCCAATCATATTCGAAGGGACACTTATCCCATACAGTAACAAAGTTAAGAATTTAGGTATTATGTTCGATCAGACTTTGTCTTGGGGACCGCAAGTGAGTGAAATAAGTAGAAGAATGTTTGCCGCGGTTGGTTCACTTCGAAGATTACGCAACGTTCTCCCCATTCCTACTAAAGTTGCGCTGGCTCAATCTCTTCTTTTACCGATCCTTGACTACGCGGACACTTGTTATCTTGACCTAACAGTCGAGCAATTTAATAAACTTGAGCGGCTTCAAAATTATTGCATAAGGTTTATATTTGGGTTACGAAAGTATGACCACATATCCGAATTCCGCCATAAGCTCAAGTGGTTACTGATTCGCCTTCGCTGGAATACTCACATTCTTCATCTTCTTTACTGCATTCTGTTCAATCCGACCACTCCTTCTTATTTGAAAGACCGATTTATATATTTAAGTAGTTTTCACTCTTTACCTCTACGATCTCTAAATAATCTCCTTCTAAGTACTCCTGGACATTCCTCTTCCTTCTATTCTAATTCTTTTACAGTTACCGCTATACGACTATGGAATTCTCTCCCCTTTAATCACTTATGTTCTTCTATTTATCTTTCTATATTATATTCTGTACACCCCTTCCGCTATCTTTTAAAAATAGTATCCTCTGCCCTAAGGTTGCCTGGAAGAGATCGCTGTTTTAGCGATAAGGCCGCCTGTTGTACCAATGTCCTTTTAAATATATAAATACTGTAATATGTTCCTTGGTGTACAATAAAGTATATTTTACTTTTACTTTACTTTTTACTCCCGTCTAACAGACAGGAGATGAAGCTACATTCTTCAACAGATTTGACAGCATGCAGGCAACTGAAGATCTCCAAATGCATGCGGCGGGACTTTCGCAACTTCAATACAGCTTGTATTGAAGAAGCGATCGAGCGGAACCAAGGCTCCAAAGTCTTTGCCAGAGATCTGTCTGCCAGAAAGAGCCAACTGTCAAAGCTGAAGACAGAATGTGGCAGCATCGTTTCCGGGGCACCTGAGATTTTGAGTGATATTGAGAGGGTCTATGGGCAGCTGTACACGTCATCGTCGGAGTCACACGCAAGTTTGAGTAACGATCCAAGAGCGAGTCTTATCCGACATTATTCCGGTGATATTCCGGACGTCAGTCTGAGCGGGATTAGAATGGCTCTCCAGCATCTTAAAAACGGTATGGCCCCAGGAGAGGATGGAAATACAGCGGAGCTTCTGAAAGCGGGTGGAAAACCGGTACTTGAAGTCCTTCAGAAGCTACATACAATTCCTTAGGAAACTAATTGAAAACATTTCAATCTAGTAGTAAATAGTAAAATGTTATAAAAAAGAAATATTGTTTTATAATTTTTGATACATTAAAACTTTAGGGTATGTAATCAAATATATAAGGCACCCAAACCAAAATATAGCCCAGGTAAACATACTCGTCAACAACTTCAAGCTTAGTGCTCCCAACAACTACCGGCATAGGTGTGACATGGACATTAAACATGATCTTTGTTTTGTCCATGTTCATCTTAAGACCTATCCGTTAGGAAGCACTATTGAGGTCTTTGAGCAAAGTGCTTAGGTCCTCTAACGATTAGGTTCAGTGTTCACCTCCTCATCGGGGTGTGCCGAGGTTGGTGCGTAAACCTGTATGACCTTCAGCGAATACCGTTTGGTGATTCTGAGTATAGGGTACGCAACCCTCGTCGATACACTCTCAATCTTTACAACGTTGTTAACGAGAGACTTGTGGACGATAAATCCGACACCTCCTTGGAACAGATGGTCGCCCTCCCAGTGATAGAACAAGTTGCCGCATTCGAGGATTACCGTGTCCTCCCCCTCTCTTCGGACCTCGGATAATCCTACAATATTCCAGCGCAACTTGTCTGTCTCTTCTTCCAGTTCCAGGATCTTCTCGTCAGTCCTCAGGGTGCGCGCGTTATAAGTTGCCAGGTCTAGTCGTCGTAGGTGGCAACCGAACCTCCACCAGAGATTCTTAGCACCCCCTGCCCCGCCGTTACCATGGTCGCCACTGTAGCCAGGAATAGCGGGGTCGCCGGGGACTTGGGGGCCGTGTTTTCGTAACATTTTTCATTTAACATATTGCCATAGTTGCCACGCTTGGCGAGCGGGTTGACAACCGCAGTTTTTTATTTTTTTTATTGGGATATTGTTGTTATCAGGAAGATGCTGCTGCCCATCTCCTGCCTGTTTCCCACTGTCGCCGTTTACGACACCCACGGGAAGATATGGGGTAGTGGATACTCTTGACCGCCACTACACGGTTCAAAGAAACGGAAACAGATAAGCGAACAAAATATATGGACCTGGCTCATGAGATGACCGACATGTGGGGTGGACTGCGACCGAAACTATAATTGTAGTCGTCTCTGCGAAAGGGTTAATCCCAATCAGCATCTCGGGTCATCTGAGGCGACTGGGACTCTATGACGGACCGCTCCAAGCTCAAATGCAGAAGGCGGTGCTCGCCAATACCGCCCGCATCGTCCGCCGGTTTCTTTACCTTCCCCCCTAATCCCCGATCTCTCCTGCCGAGGGCTTCCATCTGGTTGGATTTTTATTTATTTTAATTTATTGATATTTATTATTTTAATTTACAACAATATATTTATACAGCCCAACCAGATGAGAAAACTTTATAGATACCCGATATAATAATAGAAAGGATTGCACAACAATGTCTGTAAAGAACTAAGAGAATCTGAAAATATCACGATGGATTTTAATTTAAAACTATCATCACCATTATAGTCCTTCACAAGTCCACTGCTGAACATAGGCCTCCCCCAAGGAATGTCACAAATCACGGTCCTAAGCCACCTGCATCCATCGACTTCCTGCATGTCTCACCAGGTCGCCACTCCATCTAGTGGGGGGACGCCCTACACTTCGTCCGTTGGTACGAGGCCGCCACTCAAGAACCTTTTTCCCCATCGGTTGTCGGTTCTTCGAGCTATATTGCCGGCCCATTTCCACTTCAGCTTACTAATTCGGGAAATTACGGCACATCTTCTCGTCAGGTATACCTCAAAACTTGAAAACGACACTGTACAGTCAGTGCATGTTGCCAGTGATGACCTGTGGAACTGAGACGGTCCTTCCCTGCTGGCCGGATGAGGAAGCTCAAAGTCGCTCAGCGAGCTATGGAGAGGGCTATGCTCGGAGTTTCTCTGCTTGATAAACTTCGAAATGAGGATTTCCGCAGTAGAACCAGAGTGACCGATATAACCCAACGGATTAAAACTATAGTAATATTTTATTGCTTGTTAAATTGCTAACATTTCTCCTGTAAAAACTGAACATTTGGGAGGACTTTTCATTTATTGAACTATTCTCCCATTTTAGATGGTATATTGCGTAGCCAGTACAACCTTTTGAGTTAATTTTAGAAGCATCTGTAAAAATATAACGATAACCTCGGAAATTCTTGTCCAACGAAAATATAATTTTTTTATTTGATTCAATAGAAAATTCCCTTTCCCTAAGGGGGGTCGCTTCCGATTCGGCAGAAAGGCCCTCCAGGCCAAAGCCAGTCCCAGGTGGTGTCTAGTGGGTAGGCACTTAGGTTTCATAGTGAGTTCCACATAACCACACGCAGCCGGCTGCGTGGTATGCTTACAGCATTCAACACCTCCCTCCCCCGCTTCCCGGAGGGTAGCCCTTTATATTGCTTCTGGGTTCGAAAAAAAGAATTATATTGTTTATAGCTTTTTACTAGGTTAGGTAATTATTTTCCTAAATTAATTAAAATGTAATGAGTAAGTAAACGAATTGTAGGGATTAGTGGATGATTGGAAAATTGAAGAACCCGAAAAAAAAAGCGTCCGATAAATATTGTCGCCTAATAAAAACTGGAGGACCACCGCATTTAATCTGCAAGGCATTGATAGGCGATGAATTCACAGCGCCTATAAGTAATCTTAAAGACTTGTGTTCTAAAATCTAAAATTTTCAATACTTTTTTATTAGCAGGTTCAAGAAGAAATGAGGCATAATTTTAAAGAATATGGATGGGCGCCCCGTCATACCCCGTACAAAGCTCTTAGAATGTTTATATTTTTTTCGCATTATTTTTGGGTATAAATGATGAGGCATACCAGATAATTTATTATCAAGAATTACACCAAGGAATTTAACTTGACGAATATTTTCGAGTGGATAATTAAAAAGGCGAACCTGTATTTCTGGTAAAACTCTTTTGCGGGAAAAAAATACTGTATTTCTTTTATTTGGGGAAAGTTCTAGTCCATGATCACGTGACCATAGAGAGGAATCTCATCAG